CTGAGAAATGCCATCTTAAATAAAATGGGCTCCAAATGCCACTTCTTTTTGTTGTGGCTGCTGATATAACATTCTCAATGTAATTCTGTTGCTTTACTGAGGAAAGGAGGTTATAACCTTGTGGCGCAATCCAGGAAAACATCAGTCAAATATTTGTTTGTTTTGCTTTTGAAAGTGTCCATGCCACATTTTAAGCCATGTTATCCAAATAATGAAAATGATAATGCATCAAAGCGAAATAGAAAAATGGGAAACAGTTAATGTGCCTTAAGAACAAATACATGAAATACCATTGCAGCAACAACATATAAACAAAGTGAGCAAACAAAAACAAACCATGCAGGAAAGAAAAGGAGTTAAATACCAGTCAGTTCTGCATCCTTTTCTGAAGCGGTTTACTATGATGTCTGAAAAACAAAGGGCAGGAAACCTTTGGGATGACTTTATGCAGAGTTGGTGCCACACTTGGGAAGGCCCTGTTCTAAATAACTAACCTGCAGGCTTTTAATTCACCAATGAAATGGTGCTGGTTCTCCAGAAATATAGAAGCAGGAGAAATATAGAAGCAGACATTTCTTAAAGCGCACGGGTCCTAAACTTTGAGAAATAAAAATCAGAATTGCAGATTTATGCAGCATATGACGATGGCAAGAAGAGAAATATGCTCTGACTAGATGTCTCTAGTCACCAAATTGGTGGCAGCATTTTGTATCACAAATTCTGTCACCTTTTCAAAGGCGGCCAAAAGTAAGGTTACTATGCCCCCCCCCCTTGTACACTGCCATTAAAATCCAAATTATCTGCTTTGAACTGGATTATATGGCTGTGTAGACTCCTATAATCCAGTTCAAAGCAGATAATCTGGATTATCTGCTTTGATAATATGGGTTATATGAAATGTAGAAGGGGCCTAAGACATGATTGATGTGGCCAAGCACAACTTCTCACTGGAGTGTTATTTTTTAAAACATCTTCTGACTTGGGAATAATGTTAGGCATTCAGAAATGGGGCTGACAAATGGCTGATCTGAGATAATTAGGTAGTTTAGGGCACTTTCAGGGCTGGAGTGCCATCCAAATAACACCAGGATCTATGCTGTAAAGTCTTTCTTACCTTCTTTGTCATCTTTTCTTTGAACTGCACATCAAGTAGGATGGGATGTCACAAATGCCCTTGGCACAGATAATTGTCTTGTGCTTGTCCCCTTTGGTGGTTCAAGGTGCTAGAGAGTTGTCCCATCTTTCCTGGTAAGAAACTATTTCTGGGTAAACAACGGGATCTGGGGAAGAGGTGACTCACTTGTTCATCGAAGCTGCTCTTTGGAAAGGCTAGTGAGGCTGAGGCAGGGCAAAGGCTGCAAAACTGGGTTGCTCTGGAAGAGAAGTTGGACAGGGGTGTTTGGGTTGCAACTGTCCTTGTATCATCCAAGGAAGAAATCATCCAGAAATAGCAAGCAGACAGGGATGAGGGAGGAGAGGGAAGGAGCAAAAACAGACCATTGTAAGCATTGAGTCACCAGGTGCACAGACTCAGCAACAGTTAGTGATTTAAGCGTATTTACACAGATATACTAATTTACCTCAAGCGTATGGTTCCTTTCATGCCCTGCCATGCAACTGTTAGGCTGGTAATATACTTCCTCCAGAATTTGATCAGGATCTGTGGCAGATCAGCTCTTGTAGAGCTGACTTTGAGGGAATACTCAAACAACACGGAACTTCCTGACATGAATCAATCAGGGCCAGCTAACATCTCCCAACAAGGAGCCCCCGGTGGGGCAATGGGTTAAACCCTTGTGCCAGCAGGACTGAAGATCGACAGGTCAGAGGTTCAAATCCAGGGAGAGTGTGGATGAGCTCCCTCTGTCAGCTCAGCTCCCTATGCAAGGACACAAGAGAAACCTCCAGCAAAGGTGGTAAAACATCAAAGCATCTGGGTGTCCCCTGGGCAATGTCCTTGCAGACGGCCAATTCTTTGGCACTAGAAGCAACTTGCTGTTTCTCAAATCACTCCTGATATTAAAAAAACACCTCCCAACAAAGGATTCCCCCAGGCAGGAAGCAGCCAGGCTTTGAAGCTGCAAGGCCATTAAATGCTAATCAAGGTGGCCAATTGCAAAATTCACACTTACCACAAGCAGACAATAATAATAATAATAATAATAATAATAATAATAATAAAAACTTTATATACTGCTCTATCTCCCGAGGGGACTCAGAGCGGTTCCCAGGTAACATCACAAAACATACAAAGTAAAAACCAACATAACCATAAAATTAACAAAACAAAATATAAGCATAAAAATTGCTGCCATAACACACATATATTAAAAGTAATCCTGCCTGTTTAAGGCAATTAAAAAATTAAAAGGCCAGGCCAAGATTTGTGCAAACCCAAAAATTCTAGGGGGCCCAGGAATTAAGTGAAATGCTATGGCAGACAGCAATAATATTAGGTGTGGGTCTGTGGCTGTTCATTCCAGGACTGATTAGAGGAAAGAATCTGGGTAATTGGTAGGAAGAATAAGGCCATATTCAATCATGTGTAGGGCTGAGTTAGAACTGGTAATTTTCAAAGGCTTGTTGAAACCACCAGGTCTTCAAGCTCTTACAAAAGGAGGGGAGTGATGGGGCCTGTCTTATTTCCCTTGGAAGGGTGTTCACTTGCCTAGTTTCCAACAGACCTCACAACCTCTGAGGATGCTTGCCATAGATGCAGGCAAAACATGCATGAAAAGTCAGAAGAGAATGCTTCACAGCAACCCAGTGATTCTGGCCATGAAAGCCTTCAACAACATATTGACTTTACAGTACTTGCCAAAGAGCGCTGTTTAGTGCTGAACACACAATAACCCCTGCTAGATCAGACTGAAGACACAGGGCCCTTCCAGACAGACCCTATATCCCAGAATCCGATCCCAGATTTTCTGCATTAAACTGGTTTATATGAGTCCCCACTGCTGGATAATCTGGGATATACAGAAAACCTGGGATCAGATCCTGGGATATAGGGCCTGTCTGGAAGGGCCCCTTGTACACTACCATATAAAGTCCATATTATCTGCTTTGAACTGGATTATATGGCAGTATAGAATCATATAATACAGTTGAAAGCAGATAATGTGGATTGTCTGCTCTGATAATCTACACTACCATATAATCAAGTAATCTGGATGTTATATGGCAGTCTTGAAGGAGCCTGAGGCCTCATCAACACTGCCATTTAAAATCCAGATTATTTGCTTTCAATTGTATTATATGGCAACGTAGACATATAATCCAGTTCAAATCTGGATTATAGGATTTTGGCCACTTTGATGGCCGAAAGCGAGGAGGAGCTGAGGAGCCTTCTAATCAAGGTGAAAGAAGAAAGCGCAAAAGCTGGGTTGCAGCTAAACATAAAAAAAAAACCAAGATTATGGCAACAAAAATGATTGACAACTGGGAAATAGAGGGAGAAAACGTGGAGGCAGTGAGACTTTGTATTTCCAGGTGCAAAGATGACTGCAGATGCAGACTGCAGCCAGGAAATCAGGAGACACTTATTTCTTGAGAGGAGAGCAATGACCAATCTCGATAAAATAGTGAAGGGTAGAGACATCACACTGGCAATGAAGATCCGCATAGTTGAAGCAATGGTATTCCCCGTAGTAACCTATGGATGTGAGAGCTGGACCATAGGGAAGGCTGAGCGAAGCAAGAGAGATGCTTTTGAATTGTGGTGCTGGAGGAAAGTTCTGGGAGTGCCTTGGACCACAAGAAGATCCAACCAGTTCATACTTCAGAAAATAAAGCCCGACCACTCATTGGAGGGAAGGATATTAGAGGGAAAGATGAAGTACTTTGGCCACATCTTGAGAAGAAAAGAAAGCCTAGAGAAGACAATTATGCTGGGGGGAAAGGAAGGAAAAAGGAAGAGGGGCCGACCAAGGGCAAGACGGATGGATGGCATTCTTGAAGTGACTGGCTTGACTCTGAAGGAGCTGGGGGTGGTGACGGCCGACAGGGAGCTCTGGCGTAGGCTGGTCCACGAGGTCACGAAGAGCCGGAAACGACTGAACGAATGAATAACAACAAAGTGGTGGAACAATAATATCAAGAGAAAGTGGGGAAAAAGAGAAAAATATTGAGAAGAAAAATAGAAAAAAAAAGTCCAAACAACCAAAACATACTAGCAACAATAAAAAAAATAAAAATTGGTGACTGAACAAATGAACATCTCCTTTGAACTGGATTATATGAGAGCCCTTCCAGACAGGCCCTTTATCCCAGAATCTGATCCCAGGTTTTCTATTTTAAACTGGATTATATGAGTCTGCACTGACAGATAATCTGGGATAAACAGAAAACATGGAATCTGATCCTGGAATAAAAGGCCTGTCTGGAAGGGTCCTCATATAATCCGGTTCAAAGCAGAAAATGGATTATCTGCTTTGATAATCTGGATTAGAAGGGGCCTGAGGCTTGCCCCAAGTCTACAGCAGGCATGGGCAAACTTGGGCCTTCCAGTTGTTTTGGACTTCAACTAATGCAGTGGTTCTCAACCTGGGGTCCCCAGATGTTTTTGGCCTTTAACTCCCAGAAATCCTAACAGCTGGTAAACTGGCTGGGATTTCTGGGAGTTGTAGGCCAAAAACATCTGGGGACCCCAGGTTGAGAACCACTGAACTAATGGGCTATTAGGAATTGTGGGAGTTGAAGTCCAAAACACCTGGAGGTCCTCCAGCAGTTTAGAACTCCAACTCCCAGCATTCCTGGCCATTGGAAGTAGTGGCAGGGACTTCTGGGAGCTGAAGTCCAAAACACCAGGGGAACCAATCAGCGGCCTTCCCCAGGACGCCATTTTCAAATTCTGAATGTAGCGCCAACGCGACGCTCTGTGGCGAACTAGGCCGAAATGGCATATTCGACGTCACGTGACCCATTGTCTCCTGGGCGACGCCTCGAGGACGTCGGCGACGTGGCTCGTGATTGGCTAGCGAAGTGAAGGAAGGCGCTGATTGGTTGCGGAGGAAAGCCGGGGCCTTGTGTCTTAGCAGAGCTCGATTTCCGCCGCCATGAATGTGGCGGGCGGCCCAGGCCTGGCCGGGGGAGGAATGGGGCGCATGCGTGAGTCTGGTAAAGAGGGGCTTACTAGCAGTGTGTGTGTGTGTGTAGGGCAGGGGTGGGCAAACTTGGGCCCTCCAGGTGTTTTGGACTCCAACTCCCACCATTCCTAACAGCCTCAGGCCCTTGACTCCAACTCCCACCATTCCTAACAGCCTCAGGCACTTGGACTCCAACTCCCAGCATTCCTAACAGCCTCAGGCACTTGGACTCCAACTCCCACCATTCCTAACAGCCTCAGGCCCCTTGGACTCCAACTCCCACCATTCCTAACAGCCTCAGGCCCTTGACTCCAACTTCCACCATTCCTAACAGCCTCAGCCCCCTTGGACTCCAACTCCCACCATTCCTAACAGCCTCAGGCCCTTGACTCCAATTCCCACCATTCCTAACAGCCTCAGGCCCTTGACTCCAACTTCCACCATTCCTAACAGCCTCAGCCCCCTTGGACTCCAACTCCCACCATTCCTAACAGCCTCAGGCCCTTGGACTCCAACTCCCACAATTCCTAACAGCCTCAGGTCCTTGACTCCAACTCCCACCATTCCTAACAGCCGCAGGCCCTTGACTCCAACTTCCACCATTCCTAACAGCCTCAGCCCCCTTGGACTCCAACTCCCACCATTCCTAACAGCCTCAGGCCCTTGCCCCCTTCCCACCATTCCTAACAGCCTCAGCCCCCTTGGACTCCAACTCCCACCATTCCTAACAGCCTCAGGCCCTTGGACTCCAACTTCCACCATTCCTAACAGCCTCAGCCCCCTTGGACTCCAACTCCCACCATTCCTAACAGCCTCAGGCCCTTGACTCCAATTCCCACTCCTAACAGCCTCAGGTCCTTGACTCCAACTCCCACCATTCCTAACAGCCTCAGGCCCCTTGGACTCCAACTCCCACCATTCCTAACAGCCTCAGGCCCCTTGGACTCCAACTCCCACCATTCCTAACAGCCTCAGGCCCTTGACTCCAACTTCCACCATTCCTAACAGCCTCAGCCCCCTTGGACTGGACTGAGGCTGTTAGGAATGTGGGAGTTGGAGTCCAAAACACCTGGAGGCCCCAAGTTTGCCCATACCTGCTCTAGGTGTATCTACACAGTAGAATTAATGCAGTTTTGACATCACTTGAGCTGCCAATATAGGCTATCTCAGGCATGGACAAACTGAGGCCCTCCAGGTGTTTTGGACTTCAACTCCCGCCATTCCTAACAGCCGGAATTGTATATGGCAGCCTAGAAGGAGCCTGAAGTCCCATCAACACTGCCATGTAACATCCAGATTATCTGCTTTTAACTGTATTAAATGGCAATATAGACATAGACTTATTGTCTATGTCTATATTGTCCAAGTAAGATTGTTCTTCAAGTTCGTTGTCCAAGTAAGATTGTTCTCCAAGTTCGGTGTCTTGGTGGTGGATCTGTAGGTGACTGTGGAGCCCTATTCATGCTCTGCATCTTCTCCCGCAGTGAGGGCATCGGTTTCCAGGTGGAAGGCGGTCCCAGTCAGGGTTGGCTTGACGCACCTTCTCTCTTTTGCCCTCCATTCAAATTCTACAGCACTGCTGGTCATAGCTGACCTCCAGTTGGAGCGCTCAAGGGCCAGGGCTTCCCAGTTCTCAGTTTCTATGCCAGAGTTTTTAAGGTTGGCTTTGAGCCCGTCTTTAAATCTCTTTTCTTGCCCACCAACATTCTGTTTTCCGTTCTTAAGTTCGGAGTAGAGCAACTACTTTGGGAGACGGTGGTCGGGCATCTGGACAACGTGGCCGTCCAGTGGAGTTGATGGCGGAGGACCATCGCTTCAATGCTGGTGGTATTTGCTACTTCCGGTACGCTGACATTTTTCTGCTTGTCTTCCCCAAGAGATTTGCAGGATTTTCTGGAGGCAGTGGTGATGGTATTGTTCCAGGAGTCGCATGTGACGTCTGTAGTTAGGACACATCTCGCAGGCGTATAGCAGGGTTGGGAGGACAATAGCTTTATAAACAAGCACCTTGGTATCCCTACAGATGTCCCGGTCCTCAAACACTCTCTGCTTCATTCAGGAAAATGCTGCACTCGCAGAGCTCAGGCGGTGTTGTATTTTGGTGTCGATGTTGACTTTTTCCATGTGACATCTGTAGATAGTCCACATCTCGCAGCCGTATAGCAGGGTTGGGAGGACAGTAGCTTTATAAACAAGCACCTTGGTCTCCCTAGGGATGTCCTGGTCCCCAAATATTCTCTACTTCATTTGGAAAAATGCTGCACTTGCAGAGCTCAGGCGATGTTGCATTTCGGTGTCAATGTTGAGTTTGGTGGAGAGGTGGCTGCCAAGGGAGCAGAAATATTCAACATTTTCTAATGTTACACCATTAAGCTGTATTTCTGGCATTGGAGAGGGATTGGCTGGTGACTGCTAGAAGAGCACTTTGGTTTTCTCAATGTTCAATGACAGGCCGAGCTTCTCGTATGCTTCAGGATCGGATCCCAGGTTTTCTGCTTTAAACTGGATTATGTGAATGCTCTGCCAGATAATCTGTGATAAACAGAAAACCTGGGATTGGATCTTGGGATAAAGGCCTGTCTGGAAGGACCCTCATATAATCCAGTTCAAAGCAGATAATTCAATTATCTGCTTTGATAATCTGGATTAAAGGGCAATGTAGAAGGGGTCTAAAGTCTACCGCAGGCATAGGCAAATTTTGGTCGATAAGACCCGGTAGGCTGTTAGGAATGGTGGGAGTTGAAGTCCAAAACACCTGGAGTGCCCAAGTTTGCCCATGCCTTTCTCGACCTTGACTGACCTGTCCTTTCTTTCCACAGCCACCAAACGCCGCCTCCCCGCTGCCTCAGACCCACACCGGCTTTTTGAGGACACCAGTGCCTCCCCTTCCACCGGGACTCTTCCTCCAGGAAGCAGCAATAGCGCTGGCAGCGCCTCATCTTCTTCCTTGGCACCACAGGGACCCTTCTTGGCAGACCCAGTCTCCACTTTTGCCGCAGCCTATGGGAGCAGCCTCGCTTCGCAGGGCAAGGAGCTGGTGGACCGCAACGTGAGTCCCTGAAGGCCTCAGTCATGCTCACCAGGGATCAGTGAGTACTTCCAGACCATTTTGGACTTCCAATCCCAGAATTCCTCAACATTGGACAAGCTGGCTAAGGCTTCTGGGAGTTGAAGTCCACAAAAGGTCAGGAGTCATCGATGTGCCATGGAGACCAGTACAGGTAGTCCCCAAGTTCGGAACAGGGCGGGTTTTATAAGTTTTTCTTAAGTTGAATTTTTATGCAAGTCATAACAGGTACATTTTAAAAATATAACTAGCCCAGGCCTGGACCAGCTTCACTTAAGTGGCAGAGGGGGAAAAGGAAGGGGCCTGAGGCTGTTAGGAATGGTGGGAGTCCAAAACACCTGGAGGGCTGAAGTTGGCCCCATGCCTGCTGTAGCCTAATATTTTGCTTTGTGTAGCATTAGGAAGTTTTTAACATTCCTGTGGCATTTGTTTTGCTGTCTGTGCCCCTCTTCAGGAGATTCCACCTCACTTTCGTACCTGTGAGAATTGGAACAAGCCCAAATGTGACTTGTTCTGGAAACAAGGATTGGTTTATTTATTTCGTATCAAAAGCATTGCATAAAATAGTATAAAACTGATAAAAATAGAAGGAGCGCAGATATCTTTTGACCAAAAACGGGCAACAGCAATGACATTGTCTGTAGCCTCCAACAATTCTTCCTCTGTACATGAGGCAGGGCATAGTGGGCAAGCATACAGATGCGGAGTAATAAATAATAATAATAATTATTATTATTATTATTATTATTATTTATACCCCACCACCATCTTCCCAATGGGAACTCGGGGCGGCTTACATGAAGCCAAGCCCAACAACGCAATACAATAAATGAAATCAAAAACATAAACAACAACATAATAAATTACATAAAACATAAACTATAAGAATACAGCAAACAATATAAAAATTACAAGGTGTGGGATTATTTTAGGTAGTACCATTTTGCCTGGTTGTCTTTTGATCTGCCCACTCCACTTCTGATTCTGTTCAGGAACTTCCAAGTTGCCCATTCCTGGTTTTCCCCTGGAGGAAGACCCTCGTTGGGGGGCATCCAGTTGGGATTTCCTGGTTTAGCTGCCCAGAGGGATACCCTTGCTGTTGCTGGGGGGACGCCAAGAGCAGTGGTAGTTCTCATAATGCTTTCCCTTGATTTGAGTCTACCTTAAAAAAAACAAAAAACAAGGATTGGAGAGAAAGCTTCCATGGAGACCCCCTTTCCCCAGGAGTGAATTTCCCTTCTGAGGGATAGATTTCTCTCACTTCCTGTTGTCTCACTCCCGTGCTTAACTAGGTGTCATTTGTAAGTCGGATGTTTGTAACTCCTGTAAAATAATATATGACACAATTTCAGGGATATCCTAGTTTTATCAGGACATGGTAACACATTTGTTCCTGTTGGGTGCGATCGTTTCGTCTTTTTCTTTCTTCAAAAAATTGCCAGACGCTGGCAGCTATAATGGTTCAGAGACTTTCACCCCTTTGGGTGGCATAGCTCTAGAGCAGGGGTCCACACACTTTTTAAACAGAGGGCCAGGTCACAGTCCTTCAAACTGTTGGAGGGCTTGATTATAATTTGAAAAAACATGAATGAATTCCTATGCACACTGCACATAACTTATTTGTAGTGCAAAGACACTTTAAAACAATACAATCATTAAAATGAACAACAATTTTAACAAATCTAAACTTACTAGCATTTAAATGGGAAGTGTGGGCCTGCTTTTGGCTGAGGAGAAAGGATTGTTGTTGTTGTTGTTGTGTGCTTTCAAGTTTCAGACTTAGGCTGACCCTGAACAAGGGCCGGGTAAATGACCTTGAAGGGCCGTATCTGGCCCCCAGGCCTTAGTTTAAGGACCCCTGCTCTAGAGCATGTGCAAAGTGCACCACTGGGCTAAGGAACAGTCTTTCTCTCCCTCTGTGACAAAGCTGATCATATCTCCTCTCCTCGTCACTGCTTTCTCCCAGATTGATCGCTTCATCCCCGTGACCAAACTGAAGTACTACTTTGCTGTGGACACTGTCTATGTGGGCAAGAAACTGGGACTGCTTCTCTTTCCGTTCCTGCACCAGGTGAGCTGAGCCATGAACAGCAGGAAGGGGCATTTTGTAGTGCAAGTGACTATCTTCACTGCTTAAGGCTTGGCTGCATTAACCTCTCCATGTGCCGATCTCTCCCTTCTTCCCCCTTGATCCCAAAGTCTCACCCATCTGCTCTCTAGGAGATACGATGGTACTTGTCATGTGGAACATATTGTTATTATTATTTCTACACTATGTAACACGATTTTTGTTCCTGGGTTCTAAATGTCATTTCTTAATTGGTTTTATCATAAAAACATGGGAAAATTTTATTAAACTGCAAAAACTTTGTTTTTGTGGGATATCCTGCAGCACACTTTGCTATAGTTTTTCAATGACTATCCCATAAGAGTCTCAACCAATTCAACATAGCTTGTGGCAGTTTCTGGAGTATAACCACTACTTTCAAAGTACCGTATATACTCGAGTATAAGCCGACCTGAATATAAGCTGAGGCACCTAATTTTACCACAAAAAAAGAGAAAACATATTGACTTGAGTATAAGCTGAAGGTGGAAAATGCAGCAGCTATTGGTAAATCTATATAAATAAAAATGTAATGTTTGTTTGTGGGATTAACAAAACTCAAAAACCACTGGGTGAAGAGACACCAAATTTAGACAGAATACACCTATCAAGCCAACAAGTGACCATCACTCATAAAAACACTGAAAAACAGCAGAAGAGAATTAAAAAGCCAAAAAATAAAAAATACATTACAATGCATGTGCAAAACCACATAAATATACAGGAAAACATACATATATACACATATACACACAAATATATATATACACACAGATACACACATATACACACACAAAACACATATACCCAGACTGAGCCATAGCAACGCGTGGCAGGGGACAGCTAGTTCCAAAATAAAAAGAGATTCCAATACTATGGCATTAATTGAGGCATCAGTAGGTTAAATGTTTTTGAATATTTACATAAAACTGTAATTTAAGATAAGACTGTCCAACTCCGTTAAAACCATTATACCAAACTTCCTCAGTGTAAATATGCTTGCGTATCCTTCCAATAATAAAGAGAGTAAAATAATAAATGTAATAATAATAATAGTAATAGGGTAAAATAATGAAAATGTAATAATAAATGCAATAATAATAATAACAATAGAGTTAAATAATAAATAAACTTGACTAAAGTATAAGCTGAATGGGACTTTTCCAGCCTAAAAAAAGTGCCGCACAATTAAACAGGAAACAACACTTTCAAATCAGGAACAGAAATCTCTTCAAATGTTGTTACATAGTGTTATTATTAGTTACCCAGTGTGAGGCAGATAAAGCACAGTTAAAACAGCCAGATGAAATACAATACCACTACAACACATATATTAAAATACATAGTGGTAACAACACTGCTGCCCATGGCCTACCTGTTGGGACCTCGCTGCCAGGTGGCCTCGTACTCTTTAGAAGTTGGCACATTGGGCAGTGCAGACATATCTGGCTCTTTTTGGCAGGACTGGCAGGTTCAGTACCAGCAGGACACCCCTGTGGCCCCACGCTTTGACATCAATGCCCCGGACCTCTACATTCCAGGTACGACACATTATTTTGGGGTAAAAGGCAAATGTATCTGGATTTTCAGTCTTTTGCCTACGTGCTACCCCATTTCAAAAGAGGCTTGGCTTGGTCATTATGTCTAAATTTTGGAAATTTAACTTGTAGACTTTGATGTGGCTAATGCTACTTCTTCTCTACAGTCATGGCGTTCATCACCTACATTCTGGTGGCAGGTCTGGCACTGGGAACACAGAATAGGTGAGAACTGCCTGGATTATCTTATCTTTGTTGTTTCCTCTTCAGTGATAAAGGGTGACTTGGCAGGTGTATAACATTACCAACAACTGCAAGATTTTTGTTTTATTTTGCCGCAGGCCAAAAAGTGAAAAGATTCGCTTATTTTCCTCTTGTATTTTTGTGTGAAATGCAAATGCCATAACTGTGAAAACCTATTAAGAATGTGCACAATATCACCATAGAGAGGTGGAATTCTTTGAATTTTTTTCATTCTTTCATGTGGAAGTTAAATAAAGGAAAACGCTTGGGCTTATCACATGAGTGGGAAACAGTGTTTCATTTGCCAACACAAGTAACCTATCAATGACTTCCTTTTGTAAAATAAATGTATTCTAATGAACTCCCACTGGGGAAGCATGATAGCCATGTATAAATATGTGAGAGGAAGTCACAGGGATGAGGGAACAAGCTTGTTTTCTGCTTCCCTGGAGACTAGGACGCGGAACAATGGCTTCAAACTACAAGAAAGGAGATTCCATCTGAACATTAGGAAAAACTTCCTGACTGTGAGAGCCGTTCAGCAGTGGAACTCTCTGCCCCGGAGTGTGGTGGAGGCTCCTTCTTTGGAGGCTTTTAAACAGAGTCTGGATGGCCATCTGTCAGGGGTGCTTTGAATGCAATATTCTTGCTTCTTGGCAGGGGGTTGGACTGGATGGCCCTTGAGGTCTCTTCCAACTCTATGATTCTATTATTCTATAAACAACAGAGGAGAAACAATGTCATGTAATGCCATGCTGTTATCTTGCTGTAATTGCGATTTACTAAGATCCTCAGTTTGAAACAGACTCCTGTATGCTTAAGTGGGAAAGATGCAGGGATTGCTTTGAGTGGAGAAGATGCAGCTCTTCAAACTGCTACTAATGATAAATTTTGTCGTGTCAGGAGTGACTTGAGAAACTGCAAGTCACTTCTGGTGTGAGAGAATTGGCCGTCTGCAAGGACGTTGCCCAGGGGGCGCCTGGATGTTTTTGATGTTTTATTATCCTGTGGGAGGCTTCTCTCATATCCCCACATGAGGAGCTGGAGCTGATAGAGGGAGCTCATCCACACTCTCCCCGGATATGAACCTGTGACCTGTCGGTCGTTAGTCCTGTCGGCACAGGGGTTTAACCCACTACACCACCAGGGGCTCCTTACTAATGATCAAAAGTTTGAAGCTCGTTCCCAAGCCTTTTGGGACCTGGATCTACAGGGTCTTGGTCAAAAGAATTGCTACTTCTATAAGACAGGAGGAACTTCCTCACTCTTCTCCTTCAAGAAGCAATTATAAACACACTTCTGTACACTGGTCTTCAGAGAGGAGGAGGATTCGCTTTTATTAAATTATGGCCGCCTGGTGGAGCAGCGGATTAAACCGCTGAGCTTCTGAACTCGGCTCCCGCTGTTAGCTCCAGCTTCTGCCAACCTAGCAGTTCGAAAACATACGAATGTGAGTAGATTAATAGGTATCGCTTCTGAGGGAAGGTAGCAGCGCTCCATGCAGTCATGCTGGCCACATGACCTTGGAGACATCTACGGATAACGCTGGCTCTTGGGCTTAGAAATGGAGATGAGCACCAACCCCCAGAGTTGGACACGACCAGACTTAATGTCAGGGGAAACCCTTACCTTTACTATGCCTCTATTCTGCCTGATGAGGTTGACTGAGAATATATTGCCCAAACTCACTGCACAGCCACACTTTTATTGTTCATTTCTCATGTTGATCCTATTACTTCACTATGTTATTTATGGAGCTTTTTACCAGTTTTAACCATTGTTGTGTTGTTTGTGAATTTTCAATTGCTTAATTGTTTTTTACTGCTGTTTATCTCTATTTTGTTTTTGTCTTTGTAAGCTGCCCTGAGTCCCTTCGGAGAGAGGGTGGGTTATAAAGCTGGCCCCCTCCCTCTATTAGCATACTGAGAGGGGGAGGATTAGACATGGAGAGATTACTACTGGATCTCTGGTTGAGAACTACTTTGTACTTGGGCTTCTCTAGTCAGTGTTAGCCCAGTTACCATCATTGGCCATACAATCACTCTACCCACAAAACCAACCTACACAATTTTGTGAATGATAGTTGGCTTTTGTAAATTAATGTGAATGTTTTCCATTCATATTTTACATCATTGTATAATTCTTGTTTGATTATGATTGGTTCAATTGATTGATGTTAGGTTCTAACGTTATTTTAATATGTGGGAATGTCCTGGCGTTATTATGTTGGTACTTGTTTGCTTTATGGAGGCATTGAATGTTTGCCGTTGTATGTTGGAATCCACCCTGAGTCACCCTGGGGACATAGGGTGAAATACAAATAAAGATTTTTATTATTATTATTATTATTATTATTTGAAGCACAACAAGATGAGTCTGCAGCAGACACTCTGCTGGCTGTTGTATTGGATCACACGTCGGACACTTCCCACGTGTCTAGGACTGTGTGATGTATCGGTGAATAATGCATGCAGATCCCAGTAAGGTGGCCTTTTGCAGCTGGCAGATGGCAATCTTGTCAGCACAGATTGTGTTTAAGTCCAGGCCAAGGTCTTTAGGCACTGCACCCAGTGTGCCGATCACCACTGAGACCACCTTGACTGGCTTGTGCCAGAGTCTTTGCAGTTCGATCTTTAAATCCTCATATCGTGTCAGCTTTTCCAGTTGTTTCTCTTCAATCCTGCTGTCGTCTGGGATTGCAACATTGACAATCCATACTTTGTTTTTTAACACGATCATGAGGTCAGGAGTATTGTGCTCCAAAACTCTGTCTGTCTGAACACTGGGTGGCTTTTGAGGTGGCTTGTGCCGCCTCCTTGGCAAACCTCTCTCTCTTTCGTTCTCCTTCTCACCACTTCTATCATATAACCTTACAGATTCTCCCCTGACCTGCTGGGCTTGCAGGCAAGCTCAGCCCTGGCTTGGCTCATTGTTGAGGTGCTGGCCATCCTCCTCAGTCTCTACCTCGTGACAGTCAACACAGATTTGTCCACGATCGACTTGGTTGCCTTCTCAGGGTACAAGTACGTCGGGTAAGTACCTTACTTAAATCAGAAGGAAAAACAGCAAGTGCCACTTGCAAAAACACAGGGAGCTATATAGTTTATCTGCAGCATGCTAGGCTGTAGAGGAGTTGGGTCCATACTTTCTTTTGACCCTGTTTCCTCCTCTTCATATCCCAGGATGATTGTGGGCCTTTTGGCTGGACTGCTTTTTGGGAAGATGGGTTACTACCTGCTGCTCAGCTGGTGCTGCATCACGATTGTTGTCTTTATGGTAAGAGAAGGAAGGCTTGTCTTTTATCTACTGAATACTAGGCTGGTGCATAATTTTGGATTTGATTGGAACTAGTATCTGGTTCAGGAGCCCCCGGTGGCGCAGTGGGTTAAAGCACTGAGCTGCTGAGCTTGTTGATTGAAAGGTCGCAGGTTCGATTCCAGGGAGCGGCGTGAGCTTCCGCTGTCAGCCCTAGCTTCTGCCAACCTAGCAGTTCGAAAACATGCAAATGTGAGTAGATCAATAGGTAGCGCTCCGGCGAGAAGGTAACGCTGCTCCATGCAGTCATGCCGGCCACATGACCTTGGAGGTGTCTACGGACAATGCTGGCTCTTCGGCTTAGAAATGGAGATGAGCACCACACCCCAGAGTCAGACATGACTGGACTTAATGTCAGGGGACTACCTTTACCTTTTTAGTATCTGGTTCATGAAATTTTGGCATACGAAATTGAGTTCTGGGGTATGCAGAAAAGGGGGTGGGGGATTTAGAATCGGAATCACTTATCCATTTTTTTTTTCATAAATGTTCTGTAACATTTGGATGTCTTCCACGGTCAGTTTAATTTTCCTATAACCATTAAGTAACTTTGGTAAAGCTGCTTTTTAAAATCTTATTCCTTTGACCCCATCTTTTCTGGCACTGCCATAAGGGAGGCGCTGTGGGCGTGGCGAATCACAGCCATCTTAACTGTAGTTTGGGAAGGCCAGTTCCTCAATGGTAGAGATTACAAAAGGCCCTGCCCTAAACTACATTTCCCAGTATGCCTCGGAAGGAGAATGCACCGATCAGGAGAGGAGAGAGAAAATTATCCCTCCCCCTAAACAGTTCATTTTTCAGAAAACTTAAAAAAATCCCTTAAATCAGTAGATGTATTAATATTTCTGAAAGTTGGGTGGAAAGATCCCTGTTGATCCCAGTGGTGCAGTGGGTTAAAGGCAGGACTGAAGACTGACAGGTCACAGGTTTGAATCCGGGGAAAGCACAGATGAGCTCCCTCTATCAGCTCCAGCTTCTAATGTGGGAACATGAGAGAAGCCTCCCACAAGGATGGTAAAAACATCAAAACATCTGGGCGTCCCCTGACAGCCAATTCTCTCACACCAGAAGCGACTTGCATTTTCTCAAGTCGCTCCTGACATGACAAAAAAAAATCCTTGTTATCTTGTGTCATTGCATAGAAAATTCAATGGGATAATTCTTGGTGAGTTTTTTAAAATGTTTTTTAAAAAATTAAAAATTCGCCAAAAATGCCTGGGTAAGTCAAATGTCATGAAATTTGGTGGGCTAACAGTGGTAAATGTGTTCTACCACTGTAGCAAATTTTATCAAGATAGCTCAAAAATGAGGGAGAGAGAAGCCTCGAATTTTTCCCACTGCCAGTGATGTTGACCTTATTGCGCGTATCGCGACTGCCATTAACAAAGTACTTAAGATTCATAAGTTTCATTAGAGTTTTGAAACTTTTACCCCCAAAATTCGGAATGAACTTTAGAAACGAAGCGCCAGCGTCCCCTACTTTTGAACACAGTTTAGAACCATTTTTTAAAATTGACTGCACATGCCTACTGAATATCCATCACGAGTCGGATTTTGACAACTTGGAATGGGTGTGAGTTTGGGCTCTGCCGTAGTTTCAATGAGTTAGCAGCTTCTTGACACAGAAGCTCCCCAAAGTGGGTTGCATCCCAGTACCTATTCCATTCTTGTCCCTTGCTTGCTTGTTTGTTTGTTTGTTTGTTTAAAACATTTATATTTCGCCCTTCTCACCCCAAAGGGGACACAGGGCAGAGCACAGCATATAAACAGCAAACATTCAATGCCGGGACACAAATTCACATACACATACATAAACATTAAAAAAACATTTATCAAAATATTAAAATACACCATTTAAAACCATCCTAATCATCCACGTCAAATATAATTGTTCTGGTCATCTTTTCTATTGCCGCTTTATTGCCCTGTCCCGAAAGCTTGGTCCCACAGCCAAGTGTTTACCATCCTTCTAAAGGACAGGAGGGAGGGGGCCGACCTGATCTCACCAGGAAGGGAGTTCCATAGCCGGGGAGCAATCACTGAGAAGGCCCTGTCTCTCGTCCCCACCAATTGCGCCTGTGACAATGGCGGGACGGAAAGTAGGGTCTCCCCGGAGGATCTTAATCTCCGCAATGGTACATAGGGCTTTATAGGTCAAAGCCAGCACTTTGAATTGTGCCCGGTAGCAAACTGGCAGCCAGTGGAGCTGGCATAAYATGGGAGTTAGTGCATTAATTCCTTTCCTTTTCCTGGCACTTCCTTTCTTCCTCCCCTGCCCTCCAGATCCGGACCCTGCGCCTGAAGATCTTGTCCGAGGCRGCTGCAGAAGGGGTCTTAGTGCGGGGTGCCAAAAACCAGCTGCGCATGTACCTGACCATGGCGGTGGCTGGCCTGCAGCCGCTCCTCATGTACTGGCTGACCTTCCACCTTGTTCACTGACGGCTCCCAGGCTACAGCCAGCCAAGTCTTCCTCTGCAAGTAGCCAGCTGGGTGGCCCACTCACTGGTCGCTGTACAAACACACTGGGAATAGAGACAGCCGTGAAGTACTGCGGCTCGCGAGAAGACTGCAAGTGATCTGTGTGTGTGTGTTGATATGTGATGGAGGCTGAGGGATAGCAGGAATGTGAGCCTGGAKATGAGAGAGTGAGTGTGTGTATAGGGAAGCATACACACCCCACGTGTCCCTCCCAACTGCCTTTGTTTTGGAAGAGGAGTTAGGTTCCTCCACAGCCTTTTTTTGGCTCTGACTGAATTACCACCTTTCTGTTGCCCCACTTGCCTCTGCATGCATGCCATGACCCTGTGCTTACTTTTTGGGTACACCTCTGGTTTAGGTCAAAAGAGTCTGCCTGGCAGCTGTTTGAACAGCTCTTGAATCTGTCTGTGAGTAAGTCAGTATTATTATTATAATTATTATTATCACACTGGGAAGACTTTGGAAGCAGATAGAATAGTCTGAAAAGGGTGCTTACTTCTCTGTTTACGGTTAAAGCCTGCGCTGTACCCACAACAAGCAAAATAAAAAGTGAAAACTCTGCTGCGAGGTGTTCTCTTGCCAGGCTGAAGTGAACTACAAGCAGGAGGTAGAAACCCCTTGTACACACCCCACTTGGGGCTTGCTTTCTGGAGTAAGGCTGCTGCCTTAATTAGCTCATCTTCAGAGCTGCTTACCACTCATTTTCCAACTCTCTGCAGTTACTGATTGTCCATGTAAAGCCATGGTTCTCAACCTTTTTTTTTTAATGAGGGACCACTTTGACCAGGGACCACTCTCCAACATTAGCACCAAAAGGGTTTTTAATCAGTTTTTGGTCAATTTTAGGTTCGGTTTGGTTATTTGGGATGCCGATTCAGAAAATTACCGTATATAATCAAGTATAAGCTGACCCGAATATAAGCCAAGGGACCTAATTTTACCATAAAAAACTGGGAAAACCAATTGACTCGAGTATAAGCTGAGGGTGGGAAATGCAGCAGCTCCTGGTAAATTTTAAAATAAAAATAGATACCAATAAAATTACATTATTGATGCAGGCCAAAATCCCATTGGCTTTTTTTGCCGCCACATCACATTGTTGACTCATGTTTAACTTGTTGTCCATGAGGACTCCAAGATCTTTTTCACACGTACTGCTCTCGAGCTAGGCATTGTCCCCCATTCTGTATCTTTGCATTCCGTTCTTCCTGCCAAAGTGGAGTATCTTGCATTTGTCACTGTTGAACTTCATTTTGTTAGTTTTGGTCCATCTCTCTAATCTGTCAAGATCGTTTTGAATCCTGCTCCTGTCCTCTGGACTATTGGCTATCCCTCCCAATTTGGTGTCATGAGGAAAGGGCAGGGAGGGGAGTTGGGGAGAACCCGCTCCCTCCCGGCCCACCCACCCCACTCTGGCCCACCATGCAGCCCCCAAGTTAGAAAGTTTGCCCATGCCTAATTATTTAGTTCTTGTGGACTACAGACCCAGAGTTGGGAACCACCGATGTAAAGCCAAGGACAGACCTTTAAAGAGCATCAGATCAGTTTTATTTTAGTCACAAAGCAGACCAACATTATCGTCTCTAAACCTCACTACTTGTTGCAAGAACAGGCTGGAGAAGAGATTCCCCCTGAGATGGGGCTCCTTGGTGTCTTTCACGTGGTGCTTTGGCATGATCCGTAATTCCTCTTAGAAGTTGCTAAATAGAGCAGAATTTGTGGGAGGAAGCATGCTCAGGTGCACACATTCACACTTTACCAGCTTGAAAGCAGCACCTCTTTTGGAGGCCCAGCTTCACAAATTGCTGTATGTTTCACTGCAACGTTGATGCAGGCCTTTTATTACCAGTTACAGCATGGCAAAGTCCAGTAAAGCAGAAGGGTGTGCTTGGCCAACATCGGGCAACTCAGCCTTATTTCCCTTGCTGCCGCAAGAGTAGAATGGAATGGGATGGCGGTGAAGTGGGAGATATGCAAGTCAATGTTTCTTCTTCTTCTTCTTGGCTACCTTGTGCTTCTTGTCCTTTTTGAGCTTCTTCTGTTTTTTCTTCTGGTCAGTACCAAGGCCCTGTGGAGGCGAGGAGCACACACACCTATGTTACCCATCCGTTCCCAAAGATGCAAGAGTTTTGCCCGCTTCCTCTGTTCCAGTTTGGAGACTTTTTTGGAAGTAGAATGGTTACTCTGTGCTCTAGTCTTCAGTGAGGAGGGATGGGCCCCAACAGAGCATTATACATGAGTCAGAAAAAGGGGTGTGGTTCCTTCCTTGAAAGGACTTGCCAAGAGGACCCAACTGGTATTGGGCATTAACCATGTCTCTTCCCCATTCCATTCATATGTCAAGCAAGAGTTTTCATGGATTTTTGTGGAAGTTTTTCAGGCTGTATGGCCATGTTCCAGAAGCATTCTCTTCTGGAACATGGCCATGTTCCAACATGGCCAGGGGAACTCCAGACAAGAAACAGTCAGGGGCAGCTAATCACCTCTCAACAAAGGATTCCCCCAGGCAATAAGAAGCCAGGGGAACTCCAGACAAGAAACAATCAGGGACAGCTAATCACCTCTCAACAAAGGATTACCCCAGCAGTAAGAAGCCAGGGGAACTCTACATAAGAAACAATCGGGGGCAGCTAATCACCTCTCAACAAAGGATGCCCCAGGCAGTAAGAAGCCAGAGCAGCTCCAGACAAGAAACAATCAGGGGCACTTAATCACCTCTCAACAAAGGATTACCCCAGGCAGTAAGAAGCCAGTGGAATTCCAGACAAGAAACAATCGGGCAGCTAATCACCTCTCAACAAAGGATTACCCCAGGCAGTAAAAAGCCAGCGGAACTCCAGACAAGACACTGTCAGGGACAGCTAATCACCTCTCAACAAAGGATTACCCCAGGCAGTAAAAAGCCAGGGGAACTCCAGACAAGAAACAATCAGGGGCAGCTAATCACCTCTCAACAAAGGATTACCCCAGGCAGTAAAAAGCCAGGGGAACTCCAGACAAGACACTATCAGGGGCAGCTAATCACCTCTCAACAAAGGATTGCCCCAGGCAGTAAGAAGCTGGGGGAACTCTAGACAAGAAATAATCAGGGACAGCTAATCACCTCTCAACAAAGGATTGCCCCAGGCAGTAAGAAGCCAGGGGAACTCCAGACAAGAAACAATCAGGGACAGCTAATCACCTCTCAACAAAGGATTGAGAAGTGATTAGCTGTCAAATGGCTTTATTTTCCTTCAGTTTCAAGGTGAAACTGCTAGGCCATTAAATGCTAATCAAGGTGGGCAATTGAAACATTCACACCTACCTCCAACAGACAGGAGTTCTTTCTCCCACACTGGACGTCCCACAGATATATAAACCCCATGTCCTATTTTTGCAGGCCAAAATCCCATTGATTGTTTAAGGTGCTGCGTCACATTGTTGGCTCATGTTTAACTTGTCCACGAGGACTCCCAAGATCTTGTATGTGACCTGGGACTGCCTCTAGTCAGGTTCTCCACTCCCTGAACTCCACAGCAAATGGCTTTATTTTCCTTCAGTGGGCTGAAAACTTCAAATAGTGGTGCTTTGCCAGGATCCAGTGGGCCCAAGATGGGGGTCAAGTGCTGCATGCCCATCCCCAGGGCTCAGCCAAGCCCCGAGGCCTCTTACCTTGTCGCCCCGTTCATTGTCACTGGAGGAGGAGCTGCTGCTCGAAGAGGAGGAAGAGGAGTGTGCACTGGTTCCATCCTACAAATGGAGAGAAATAAGTTATATCCTACTGGTCTGCTGGGGTGGGGTCCTGGTTTGGTGTAGGTACTGGGGCTGGCCCACTTTGTCATCCATTGCCAAGGCTGCTGAACTTTTAGACAAGCAAACAGGAACACTATTTTGGTCAGCTCAAAGTCCGCAATGCTCCCCTTTCTCCTCCAAATGGCTCTTACCTTATGGCTCTTACCTTATGGCTCTGTCCTGGGCCTTTGGGATCTGTAGGATGGTGTGGCAGTGGGACCGGGGTGTCGGCCTTGTGCTCCCCGACCTTCACTTCCTGGTGGGCAGGAGCAGGATGTGGTGCCGCAGGCTCTGGTCCCAATGCTGCAAGATGATCCCATCACAGACACACAAGTAGAGAGAGTACAGGGGAATTCCAGACAAGAATCAATCAGGGCCAGCTAACACCTCCCAACAAAGGATCCCCCAGGCAGCAATCAGCCAAGCTTTGACATTACAAAGCCATTTAATGTATTGTCGAAGGATTTCATGGCTGGAATCACTGGGTTGTTGTGAGTTTTCCGGGCTATATGGCCATGTTCCAGAAGCATTCTCTCCTGACATTTCGCCTGCATCTATAGCAGGCATCCTCAGAGGTTGTGAGGTTTGTTGGAAACTAGGAAAATAGGGTTTACATATCTGTGGAATGTCCAGGGTGGTAGATAGAACTCTTGTGTGTTTGAGCCTCCGCCACACTCCAGGGCAGAGAGTTCCACTGCTGAACAGCTCTCATAGTCAGGAAGTTCTTCCTGATGTTCAGATGGAATCTCTTTTCTGGAGATTCCAGAAATGGCAACAATCCATCTTGGCACAAGACTATTTCTGATTTCCTAAGGAGCTTAGTGTTAGTTACTATCTGCTTCCCACCCTTTTCAAGGTGGTAGGATTTGGAAGTTTCCAACATATCTGCAAACTCCAGAAGTGAAGAGTGAAATGAGGTCTCTGTTTATCTGTTGGACCCTTCCTGGTATCACTTATTTTCATGCTTAAGTAAGTTCTCTCTGCTTGGTTGCTGTGAGTTTTCCGGGCTGTCTGGCCATGTTCCAGAAGCATTATCTCCTGATGTTTTGCCCACATCTATGGCAGGCATCCTCAGAGGTTGTGAGGTCTGTTGGAAACTAGGAAAATGGGGTTTATATATCTGTAGAATGTGCAGAGTGGGAGAAAGAACTCTTGTCTGCTTGAGGCAAGTGTGAATGTTGCAACTGGCCACCTTGATTAGCATTTAATGGACTAGCAGTTTTCAAGGCCTGGCTTCTTACTGCCTGAGGGAATCCTTTGTTGGGAGGTGATTAAGAACATCAAGGAACATGAAAGGCACTGCAGACTCATTCAGCCTGAGAAGTCAACCATAGCAGAAATTTGATGAACCAACCTGGATACAACATATTATTTGAGAACACAGAAATGCTAGACCACTCTCACAACCACCATGTCAGACTACACAGAAAAGCCATTGAAATCCACAAGCATTAGAGAAAAAGAGAAAATAAAAATAAAAAAATAGATATGTTGACTTCCTGGTATCTTCCTGAGACTTTTTATTTATTTATTCTTTTTTATTATTTTATTTTTCTCTTATCTTATGACAAAAGAAATCCACAAGCATGTGGACAATTTCAAAAGAAAGAAGGAAACTGAAAATAAACAAAATCTGGCTACCAGTATTTTTAAAAAACCTCTAAAATCAGAACAGTAAATAAAGAATAACACTTTAAAATGTGAATTCCAGACAAGAAACAATCAGTGCCACCTAATCACTTCCCAACAAAAGATTCCCCCAGGAAGTAAGAAGCTACACCTTGAAACTGCTAGGCCATTCAATGCTAATCAAGGTGGCCAATAGCAACCTTCACACTTGCCTCAAGCAGACAAGAGTTCTTTCTCCCACCCTGGACATCATTTCATTGATATATAAACCCACTTGTCCTAGTTTCCAACAGACATCACAAACTCTGAAGATGCCTGCCATAGATGTGAGCCAAACGTCAGGAGAGAATGCTTCTGGAACATGGCCAGACAGCCAGGAAAACTCACAGCAACCAAGTAGAGATAGCTCACTTAAGCATGAAAATAAGCAAGACCAGGACGGGTCCAACTGATAAACAGACTCCTCATTTTACCCCTCACTTCTGGAGTTTGCAGATAGGTTGGAAACTCCCAAATCCTGCCACCTTGAAAAGGGTGGGAAGCAGATAGTAACTAACACTAAGCTCCTTAGGAAGTCAGAAAAGGTCTTGTGCCAAGATGGGTTGTTGACATTTCTGGAATCTCCAAAAAAGAGATTCCATCTGAACATCAGGAAGAACTTCCTGACTATGAGAGCTGTTCAGCAGTGGAACTCTCTGCCCTGGAGTGTGGTAGAGGCTCCTTCTTTGGAGGCTTTTAAACAGAGGCTGGATGGCCATCTGTCGGGGGTGATTTGAATGCAATTTTCCTGCTTCTTGGCAGGGGCTTGGATGATTCTATCTCTCTTCAAGCCATTTCCGACTAAAGAGCACCCTCTCGGAGTTTTCTTGGCCAGGTTTGTCCAGAGGTGGTCTGTCTGCCTTGTCCCTCCTCTGAGGCTGAGATAATGTGACTCGCCCAAAGTCAACCAATGGGTCTTCACAACCATGGAGGGGATTCAAAATCTAGTCTACAGAGTCACCTTGCTAAGCCACCACCCTATGGGGGTTCTGGCCCAAGAGGAATGGGGGAGCTTTAACTCTTCAGCCAGAAAAGAGACCCAGGGGCCCTTCTTGCCCATGTTTGCTCACCTGCAGCCAGGTCGAAGTCCTCCATGGCGACGCCCAAATGTCTCTTACTGCAGCAAACTGGGCGGAGGAGGTCTTCTATCCGGAGGAAGTTGGCCTTCCCTCCGAGGCGGAGCTCCTCTGAGCCTGGGAAGAAGAGCTGCTCGACAGTGACACCTACTTGCTTTGTGGAATCTCCTCTTTGGAACCGGGTCTGGGTGGCCATCTGTCGGGAGGGCTTGGATTGTGTCTTCCTTTCTGGCAGAATGGGGTTGGACTGGGTTGGACTCCTTGGGGGAGCTTCTTCTCCAGGATTCTGTGGCTAAACTTCAGTCTCAGTCCCTGCAGGGTTGGCACAAGCCTTTCTGCAGCATTTGGCCAAGGAAGCAGCCATGGCTGAATTGGGGACTTTTCCCCCCTGCAGACCCTCTGGACCCAATCTGATCTAACCTTTTTGCATCTCCAGATTTAATCTCACACGTGCTCTAAAGCACTTTCCAAGGCAGAGTTGGGGATGCTGCACACTGTAGGGCAGGTATAGACAAACTTTGGCCCTCCAGATGTTTTGGACTTAGAATCATAGACTCATAGAGTTGGAAGAGACCTCATGGACCTTCCAATCCAACCCCCTGCCAAGAAACAGGAATATTGCATTCAAAGCATCCCTGGCAGATGGCCATCCTGCCTCTGTTTAAAATCCTCCAAAGAAGGAGCCTCCACCACATGCTGGCACTGCTGAATGGCTCTCACAGTCAGGAAGTTCTTCCTCATCATGTTCAGATGGAATCTCCTTTCTCGGCGTTTGAAGCCGTTGTTCCGTGTCCTAGTCTCCAGAGAAGCAGAAAACAAGCTTGCTCCCCGCTCCCTGTGACTTCCTGTAACATATTTATACATGGCCCTCATCGTATCTCCTCTCAGCCTTCTCTTCTTCAGGCTAAACATGCCCAGCTCTTTAAGCCACTCCTCATAGGGCTTGTTCTCCAGAACCCTGATCATTTTAGTCACCCTCCTCTGGACGCATTCCAGTTTGTCAATATCTCTCTTCAATTGTGGTGCCCAGAATTGGACACAACATTCCTTCAACTCCCATAATTCCTAATAGCCTTGAGCCCTTTTCTTTCCCCCATCAGCCACTTAAGCAGCTGGGTGAGGGGAGGAGGAAAGGGTCTGAAAAAGTCCAAAACACCTGGAAGGTTAAAAGTTTGCCCATGCCTGCTGTGTAGGCCTTTTGATTATAATGGCCAGACAGTGCCTGCAGCAAACTTTTGTTGAGAGGTGATTAGATGTCCTTGTTTGTTTCCTCTCTGTTGTTGTGCTGTTGTAATTTTAGAGATTTTTTAATACTGGTAGCCAGATTTTGTTCATTTTCATGGTTTCCTCCTTTCTGTTGAAATTGTCCACATGCTTGTGTATTTCAATGGCTTCTCTGTGTAGTCTGACGTGGTGGTTGTGAGAGTGGTCCATCATTTCTGTGTTCTCAAATAAAATGCTGTGTCCAGGTTGGTTCATCAGGTGCTCTGCTATGGCTGACCTCTGGTTGAAGTAGTCTGCAAAAGTTTGCTCCAGGCACTGTCAGGCCATCAAATGCTAATCTAGGTGGTCAGTTGAAACATTCACACCTAGCTCCAGCAGACAGGAGTCCTTTGTCCCACCCTAGTCATTCCACAGATATATAAACCCTTTTTCCTAGTTCCAACAGACCTCACTACCTCTGAGGATGCTTGCCATAGATGCAGGCGAAACGTTAGGAGAGAAGGTCTGGTGGGCATTGACCCTGAGTTTTTGGAGATGTAGTTCACCTACATCCAGAGAACACCATGGACTCAAGCAGTGATGGATCTGGATCAAACTTGGCACAAATACTCAATATGCCACTGGTAGAGTTTGGGGAAAATAGACCTTGCCATTTGGGAGTTATAGTTGTTGGGATTTATAGTTCACCAACAATGAAATAGCATTCTGAATCCCACCAACGATAGAATTGGACCAAACTTTCCACACAGAACCCCCATGACCAACAGAAAATACATTTTCTTATGGTCTTTGGTGACCCCTCTGACATCCCCTCGCAACCCCCACAGGGGTCCCAACCCCCAGGTTGAGAAACATTGGTTTAAGCCATTGTGCCACAGGGGGCTCTTGTCACAATCCATATCCCAATATCACAGTATAAAGTTCACGTTGTTTCTGAGTAATGGTGATCCTGCCCCAGGGTTGTTGGGGGCACAGAGTGTGACCTGCCTAGGGTCTTCATGGCTGAGTGGAATCCTCATTTCGAATTGCAATGTTCAATCCATTATGTTGCAATAGTATCTTAACTTTTAGCGGTCTTCCTTAAGCCTTTGGATGCTGCAGCTGCACATCCCCCTTGACTCAATGATTCAAACCACAACAAAACTTTCATTTTTATTCTGTTTTATTGACAGTCCTTCCAATATTTTTTTTAAAAAAAGGCAATTATCAAGAGAACAATTCCCAAAGAGACTGAACGCAATCAAGTTTCGATTTTTGTTAAAAAGTATAAAAACGCACTAAACGCTACAGAAGTCTTATCCTGCTCACACAGAAACTTCTTTCTTCCTGGAAGGCAAAAGGGCATCATTGCTCAAGGCAGGCACAGGAGTTGAGACAGAGGCACGCCAGGTGAGGCCTGCTATGCCAACGGAGATCTGATTCAGAGAAAGAAGCAAAAGGTTCCCCGCTGTCCCAGCAACTCAAACAGTCACCCAAGAGAGAGAGAGTAGCAGAAGAGCTCCAAAAACTGAAATGCATGTGGTTGCAATTTGGTTTTCCAAGTGAGACGCAGAATGAGAAGACCCGCTTCAGATCCCAAGAAAACACCCAAGAGGTATATAGCCAGCGGTTGGAGGGAGACAGAGGAGATGGTTGCAAACAGGAGGTAAACCCATCAAATACCGTTTGTAATTCCATGTGGTATCCAGATCCCTGTCTTATGGACTGAGGAGATGGAAGTTCACAAGAGGTTCAACCAAAATACTAGCCAAGGAGAAAGGGAAGGAGTGCTGAGGAAAATTTGGAACTCTTTCTGCTTATCAAGGAGGGGAAGATACACTCTCCTTAAGAGTGTGCTGCAAAATGTCAAAAAGGGTTGGGAAGTGGCACAGCTATCTACTCAATCCCACCTGCTTTACAGCTGCAGCCATTGTTTGTCCTTTCCTCCCACAAACAACCACAGTGACGAACCCCTGAGGACAACATTTCCCCCAACTTCTGTACTCTTCTGGATGTGGACATACCAGAAACTCTACTGAAAACCAAACAAGCCCTTGGATAGACGAGAATGGAGTCATCATTGCTATGAGAGAAGGAGCCCCTCCTAGGATAGATTTATGATCCAGGTGTATTCCTATGAAGATGGATCTACAGAGGATTGAGACATGGTGAGGAGGGTCCCCCCCCCCTCCCACTTGTGTATTATTTACAGGCGGCCAGAGCCCCAGCCACGTTCGCAAGGAGTGCGCGCTCAGAGTGTGTAGGCGTTGTTCATCAGGGCCTCCTTGTCATCCATGGTGCTCCATACCCTCTCCAGTGTGCCGTCCTGGTTCCTCCGGCAGAGTTTGACGAAGAAGAACACCATGGAGCCCAGGAGAATGGCAGCCATGACAGCCAGGAGAATTGCCAGAACCACTGCTGCGGAGAGGAGAGAATATCCAGGCATTAGGGAAAGGCAGGGCGAGGGTGGCCCAAATAATGAGGTCCGTTTCATGGCCAATCATTCTCAGTGAACCATTTATAATGATTACTACCTGTACCCACCACGCGTTGCTGTGGCCAACCTTCCCTCCCTCTTTCTCTCCTTCCTTTCCTCTTTTTCTTTCCCTTCCTATTTATCTTCTTATTTCTTCCATCTCTACCTGTTTCTTTCCTCCCTTTCTTTGGTGTTTGGTTACTTCCTTCCTTCCCTGTATTTTTCCTTTCACTTTTTTATTTCCTTCCCTCCTTTTTTGCTTCTCTACCTTTCTTTCCTTCTTTCCCTCCCTCCTTACCTCTTTCCCACCTTCATTCGTTCCCTCTTTCCCTCCTTCTCTTGTTACTTCTTGACAGTCCCTTCCAACTCTGTTCTACAATTCTTTTTAATTTGTATTATATAGTAATATATAATACTAACATATTATATAGTAATGTATATAACAATATATAAAATATTGTATTTATATCTTACATAGAAAGAAGGAAAGGAAGAAGGAAGGAAAGAAAAAGGGAGGGAGGGAGAGAAGGGAAGCAAGGAAAGGAAAGAAGGAGAGACAGGAAGGAAAGAAAAACGAAGGAAGGAAAGGAAAGGAAAGGAAAGGAAAGGAAGGAAGGAAGGAAGGAAGGAAGGAAGGAAGGAAGGAAGGAAGGGGAATGAAGAAAGGAGGGAGGGAAGGAAATGAAGGGGAAGGAAATGAAGAAAGGGAAAGAAGGAGGAAAGGGAGTGAGGGAGGGAGGAAGGAAAGGAAAGGAAGGAAAGGAAGAAGAGACAGGAAGGAAGGGAAAGAGGGAAAGAAGGAAAGGAAGGAGGGAGGGACAGGAAGGAAGGAGGGGGAAGGAAAGGAAGGGGAAGGAAGGAAGAAAAGGAAAAAAAGGGGGGGAGGAAAGAAGGGAAGGGAGGGAGGGAGAGAAGGAGTGGAATGTGGCAGAGGCAGCTACCTCCCAGTCTGGATGTTAATAGGGGAGGGAAAGAGAGAGAGAGAGAGAGAGAGAAATGTGAGCTTGTGTTGCCAGAGACAGCTGGCAACACAAATTTCCCCACAAGGAGGAGGGGGCATGGCCATGGGTCTCTTTGTGGGCATGCAGTTTAGAAGTCCTTTCTGCTTTATGTTTTCATTGTTTTTTGAGTGAAGGACGTACATGGGGTTGTTAGGTGTCTTGTGTCCAAATTTGGTGTCAATTCTCCCAGTGGTTTCTGAGTTCTGTTAACCCCACAAACGAACATTACATTTTTATTTATATAGATTGGTTTTACTGATGGGTCTATGGACCATAATAAATTGTTGTTGGTTTGTTTGTTTTAGTTTATGTTTGGAAAATCCCCCAGTTCAGATTTCGCCACTTCCTCACAGAACTACAATCTTATTCACACTACAAAGTTATAGCAGTATTATTCCACTTTATTTTCAGAAATATTAAAATTAACTAGGTATTTTTAATGACAGAAATGAGTGAGTCAAGCACTGAAAGGGTTAAATGGATATAATGACTTTACAAAAGCTGCAGTTCAATATAAGCAGGTGTGCCTGTTGTTTAGTAGCTCTCAGTCTGTGAGAGGTCTCTCTGGGAGAAGGGCCTCAGTATGTTAGTAGGCCTCAGCATGAGTAGGCCTCAGTGGGAGAAAGGCTCGGTCTAAGAGAGTCCTCAGTGTGAGAAGGTCTCAAAGGGAGAGAGGCCTCAGTGTTAGTAGCCCTCATGAGAAGGCCTAGTGTGAGAAGCTTTGGTGAGACAAACCCCAGGTTGAATAATAATAATAATAATAATAATAATAATAATAATAATAATAATTTATTTATACCCCGCTCCCTTTAGTAGAGTCACCTACCTCTGGTGGAGTGCATCAAGGGTCCTGGGAAGAAGTGGGACGGTGATTCTGGCCCCAGGGGTTCATCAATGATATCTAAAAAGGCAAGGAAGGAGATTTGAGGGTGCAAAAGTAGCGTCGTCTGGTTCACTAGAGTGCTCTTATCAATATTCTTTTATTTATTATTATTATTTATTTCGAGGTTTTATATACCGACCCTCTCACCTTCAAAGAGGGATTCGGACCGGTTCACAACATGTGTTAACATACAAAAAATATACAATAACAACACAATGCCACTTCATTACACGATTAAAATATCAGCACCATACACATTAAAACATTATCATCCAGTTAAAAGAGCCAAATCGTCCGACACCATCACAATCCCATTCATCATCCTCCTTTCATGTGGGCAAAGAATTAAATCAGTTGTCAAATGCCGCGTTCCACAACCAGGTCTTTGTTAGTTTCCTGAATGTCATGAGGGAGGGGGCAGTTCTGATCTCTAATGGCAGGGAGTTCCAAAGTCGAGGTGCCACCATCGAGAAGGCCCTGTCCCTCGTCCCCACCAGCCATGCTTGTGCAGGCGGAGGGACCGAGAGCAGGGCCCCTCCAGATGATCTTAGTGGTCTTGATGGTTCGTAGGGGAGAATACGTTCGGAGAGGTAAACAGGGCCGGAGTCGTTTAGGGCTTTATAGGTTAACACCAGCACTTTGAATTGTGCTCGGAAGCTAATTGGCAGCCAGTGGAGCTGGCGTAACAGCGGAGTGGTGTGCTCCCTGTACCCCGCACCCGTTAGTAATCTGGCTGCCGCGCGTTGGACTTGCTGCAGCTTCCGGGCAGTCTTCAAAGGCAACCCCACGTAGAGAGCGTTGCAGTAATCTAAGCGGGATGTAACCAAAGCGTGTACTACCGTGGCCAAGTCAGCCCTCCCAAGATACGGACGCAGCTGGCGCACAAGTTTTAATTGTGCGAATGCTCCCCTGACCACCGCTGAAACCTGGGGTTCCAGGCTCAGCGATGAATCCAGGAGAACTCCCAGACTGCGTATCTGTGCTTTTAGGGGGAGTGTGACCCCGTCCAGCACAGGCTGTAACCCCGTGCCCTGTTTGGTCTTACAACTGACCAGGAGTACCTCTGTTTTGTCTGGATTTAGTTTCAATCTGTTGTCCCTCATCCAGTCCGTGACAGCGGCCAAGCACCGGTTCAGGACCTGAACAGCCTCCTTTTGGGTCTTAGCATCTCCCTCCTCTTACCTCCACTCCCAGTGCACTGGTTCAGGCAATGCTCCTCAAAGATGTAGTTGTTCTTGTTGCCTCCGCAGCCGCCGTAGATGAACATCTTGCATGTCCGAGTCTTGGTGTCAAAGTACCATCGTGGGAAGGAGGCCCGGCAGTTACCAACCTTCTTGGGCGCAGCACAAAACTCTGAAAGAGCAGGATGCCATCAGATATTACTCATCGCCTTCACTAGATGTATCAACAGGGCCAGAGGTTACCATAAAGTGGCCCCGAAAGACCTACAGCAGTGGTTATTCTCAACCTTCCTAATGCTGCGACCCTTTAATACAGTTCCTCATGTTGTGGTGACCTCCAACGATAAAATTATTTTCGTTGCTACTTCATAACTGTAATTTATGTTATGAATCGTAATATAAATATCTGATATGCAGGATGTATTTTCGTTCACAAATTTGGCACAAATACCCGATATGACCAAATTTGAATATTGGTGGGGTTCGGGAGGATTGATTTTGTCATTTGGGAGTTGTAGTTGCTGGGATTTATAATTAACCTACAATCAAGGAGCATTCTGAACCCCACCAATGATGGAACTGAACCAAACTTGGCACACAGAACTCCCATGATCAACAGAAATACTGGAAGGGTTTGCTGGGCATTGACCTTGAGTTTTGGAGTTGTAGTTCACCTACATCCAGAGAGCACTGTGGACTCAAACAATGAGGGATCTGGACCAAACTTGGCACAAACACTCAATATGCCCAAATGTGAACACTGGTAGAGTTTGGGGGAAATAGACCTTGACATTTGGGAGTTGTGGTTGCTGGGATTTATAGTTTACCTACAATCTTATTGATAATGTTGTATATTTTATTGTCTATGTTTTATTTTAATTGCTTGTACTGTTGTTATTATTGCTTGTACTGTTGTGTTCGGCCTCGGCCTCATGTAAGCCGCACCGATTCCCTTGGGGAGATGGTAGCGGGGTACAAATAAAGTATTATTATTATTATTATTATTATTATTATTATTATTATTATTATCATCAAGGAGTATTCTGAACTCCACCAACGATGGAATTGAACCAAACTTGGGACCAAGCTTTTGGGACAATGCAATAAAGCAGTGATACCTTACCAGGCCAATTAGATTAGATACAGAGGATCGAGGCAGATTTAAACAGTGTATTTTAATATTGAGACAATTGTTTTTAATTTTTATGTATGCACTAGCCGTCCCCTGCCACGCGTTGCTGTGGCCCAGTCTGTGTATATGTGCTTTGTGTGTGTATATATTTTTGTGTGTGAGTATATGTGTTTGCGTATATATATGTGGTTTTGCGCATGCGTTGTAATGTATTTTTAGTTTTCTAAAGTCTCTTCTGCTGTGTTTTTCAGTGTTTTTATGAGTGATTGTCACTCATTGGCCTGATAGGTGTCTGGTGTCCAAATTTGGTGTTAATTCATCCAGTGGTTTTTGAGTTATGTTAATCCCACAAACGAGCATTACATTTTTATTTATATAGATATAATGAATTCTTGTCCCGGCATTGAATGTTTGCCATATATATGCTGTGCCCTGCTCTGAGTCCCCTTCGGGTTGAGAAGGGCAGAATATAAATGTTTTAAATAAATAATAAATAAATACAGAACTCCCATGACCAACAGAAAGTACTGGAAGTGTTTGGTGGGCATTGACCTTGAGTTTGGGAGTTGTAGTTCACCTACATCCAGAGAACACTGTGGACTCAAACAATGATGGATCTGAACTAAATTTGGCACAAATACTCAATATGTCCAATTTTGAGTACATTTTGGGGGAAATAGACCTTGTCATTTGGGAGTTGGAATTGTTGGGATTTATAGTTTGCCTACAATCAAAGAGCATTTTGAACCCCACCAATGATTGAATTGGGCCAAACTTCCCACACAGAACCCCCATGACCAACAGAAAATACTGTGTTTTCTGATGGTCTTTGGTAACCCCTCTGACACCCCCCTCGCCCCCTCAGGGGTCCCGACCCCTAGGTTGAGAAATGCTAATGTAAAATCTTCCTCTGTAAGGATTAGTTAGGCATTACCCATGTTTCTACAATAAGTTCAGGAATGTATCCTCCATGGATTTGGTGTCTGAGCTGTTTGCAAATCCCCTTCTCCTCACTCAGCTATTCCCACTACCCTATCAATGGTCTATTGCCCACTAATCTCAGAGAAAGAAAGGGTGAATTACCTTCAAAGCCAACTCTGTCGTCTCCTGGTTCACGACGGCGGCCAGATCTGGACGTAGCTGCTGGGGAGAGAAGGCAAAACTGTCTGGAACCAATTTTGGCAAAGATATAGTTTGCTCAGGGCCTTGTGGCGCAGTGGGTTAAACCACTGACCTGAACTTTCTGACCGAAAGGTTGGTGGTTTGAATCTGGCCAGTGAGGTGAGCTCCCGCTATTAGCCCCAGCTTCTGCCAACCTAGCAGTTTGAAAACATTCGCTATCCAGGTGACCTTGGAAAGCAATGTATTCTCTGTACACACAAAAATCATTCTGAATTCCCAAAAACTCCTTGTCATCTTTTTGGGATTATATGGAAGAGGTTATCACTATTCTTTGCAGTACAACCCAAGCCATTTTAGGGAGTGTTTTGCGTTTGAAAATAAGACCTTTCTAGAGGAGCCCCCGGTGACACGGCAGGTTAAACCGCTGATCTGCCAAACTTGCTGACCAAAAGGTCAGCAGTTCGAATATGGGGAGCAAGGTGAGCTCCCGCTATTAGCCCCAGCTTCTGCCAACCTAGCAGAAAACATGCAAATGTGAGTAGATAAATAGGTACTTCTCCAGCGGGAAGGTAACAGTGCTCCATGCAGTAATGCTGGCCACATGACCTTGGAAGTGTCTATGGACAAAGCTGGCTCTTCGGCTTAAAAATGGAGATGGGCTCCAGCCCTCAGAATTGGACACGACTGGACTTAATGTCAGGGGAAAACCGTTACCTTTACCTAATAATAATAAATTGAGTAAAATAATAAATGTAATAATAATAATAAATAGAAGTGTCCGACGTGTGATCCAATACAACAGCCAGCATAGTGACCTTGTTTGCTGTGTACTAATCTTGATGTGTTCCAAATAAATAGAGTAAAACAATAAATGTAATAAAATAATAACAGAGTAAAATAATAAATAACCTTGACTCGAGTATAAGCCAAGGGAGGTTTTTTCAGCCTAAAAAAGGGGATGAAAAACCCAGCTTATAATCGAGTATCTATGGTACATTTTAGTCTTTGGTAAATAATTTTAATTTTTGCCATCCTAGCAGTTTGATAACATGCAAATGTGAGCAGATGAATAGGTTCTGCTTCTGTGGGATGGTAACAGCGCTCCATGCAGTCATGCTGGCCACATGACCTTGGAGGTGTCTACAGACAAGGCCAGCTCTTCGACTTAGAAATGGAGATGAGCACCAACCCCCAGAGTCGGACACAACTGGACTTAATGTCAGGGGAAAACCTTTACTTTGTAAAAACAACCAACAGCTGAACTTTCAAACAGTAATATTCTAAGCTCAGCCAAAGTCTGAGATAAAATCTACCAGACATCCCTAGAAAACCTGCGGTGAACAAGATCACGACTTACGGGAGCTTCTTAAATTGAAAGCCTTCCAAGTTACCAAACTTTGTTTTGTCTTCTCTGAATCACAACCATGACAGCTGAGAGCTGTTCTTGGTAACCAGTGGTACTGTTGGTTGTAAACAGGATTCGTCAGTAGTTCTCAACCTGTGGGTCCCCAGATGTTTTGGCCTTCAACTCCCAGAAATCCTAACAGCTGGTAAACCGGCTGGGATTTCTGGGAGTTGTAGGCCAAAACAACTGGGGATCCACTGGTTGAGAACCACTGAGAATAAAGGAAGGCAGCTTTCAGTTTCCAGGATGATCAGCCCATAATCTCTCTCGACTCTCCATCCTTCATCCTCCAAACTTCTCAATGGAGAGGGCCTACCTTTAGTGGTGGACGTAATTATCTCTTCTGCTGGTCCGTCATGGGTCACTGGTACCTCCACATCTCCATCTGAAAGCCAAAATATTCTACATGAGACAAGCACAGATGAAGACGTCCAAAGACGGATGTCCTTTGGGTTGATTATATTAGTCAACACACATTTTGGTGCCTCAAGTATCAGACCTGTTTCTGGGTATGTTTGAACACTGGATTCCAAAATGGCACTAGTTCTCCCCTATCAGCTCTGGCTTTTGAGATACAGAACATATGCAGTCTACCAGTCACCATCTGTTCACCCATTTTTTGTGTGTGACAGGAGCGACTTGAGAAACTGCAAATCACTTCTGGTGAGAGAGAATTGGCTGTCTGCAAGGACGTTGCCCATGGGACGCCCAGATGTTTTAACGACTTGTGGGAGGTTTCTCTCATGTCCCTGTATGAGAAATTGGAGCTGACAGACAGGAGCGTACCCTGCTCCCTGGATTCAAAGCGCTGACCTTTTGGTCAGCAGATATTACCCAAGGGACGTTCAGATGTGTTACCATCCTATGGGAGGCTTCTCTCATGCCCCCGCATGAGAAGCTGGAGCTGACAGATGGGAGTCCACCCCTCTCCCTGTTTTTGAACCATTACCCAAGGGATGTTTGGATGTGTTACCATCCTATGAGAGGCTTCTCTCATGTCCCAGCATGAGAAGCTGGAGCTGATAGAAGCTGGAGCTCACACCACTCCCTGGATTCAAACTTTCGGTCAGCAGACATTACCCAAGGGATGTCCGGATGTGTTACCATCCTATGATAGGCTTCTCTCATGTCCCAGCACGAGAAGCTGGAGCTGACGATGGGAGCTCACCCCATTCCCTGGATTCGAACCGCTGACCTTTCGGTCAGCAGTCCTGCCAGCACAAAGGTTTAACCCATCGCACCCCTGGGGGCACCTATAGAAAACCATGTTAATCATATCTAAGAAACTAGAGCTGATGTAGTGCATTGGATGCAGTTTTTAAAAATATATATTTCATTAGGGTTTTGTTTAAAGAAATGAAAAAGAAAATGGATATTGTAACATTGAAAGTGGGAGAACAATGTGATATATAGTAAAGTAGGAAATGTAAAAAAAAAGAAGACAAATATATATAAATATATAAATATTTTAGAAAATAGAAAAAATGTGTTTCCAAATCTGTGCCCAAAATAACTCCATGAACTGACCTATAAACAAGGGCAACAAGACATTTTTATTGGTTGTTAGTGCTTTGTTACAAATGTCAAAGACAATAAGGCAATTTGTCAGCATTGACATGCCTTTGGACTTCCAAAAGAAAGCATCAAAGACATGCATATAAAAAGAGAAAAGTGCCCAAAGCCCGGTCTGAAAATTACTCCGCAAAACAAACCTGCCTTAAGATCATCAGGGGAGCCTTTGACAATGCAGGATTATAGTGCTATCATTGCACGTTAATAGCTATGACTTAATCTTGTGGAATCCTGAGAGTTGCAGCTTGGTGAGGCACTAGAATTCCCTGCCTGAGATTTCAAAATACCCTTGCCCGCACTACAAATCCCAGGACTGCATGGAGAAACATAAGGCTGTAACTTGGATTTTGCAAAAGTATCCCAAGCAATAAAAACTAGCTCACCTTTGTTTGTTTCTCTGTAGAGCAGGCATTGGCAAACTTGGGCCGTCCAGGTGTTTTGGACTCCCAGCATTCCTAACAGCCTCAGGCCCTTTCCTTTTCCCCCTCAGCCGCTTAAGCGGCCGAGGGGGAAAAGGAAGGGGCCTGAGGCTGTTAGGAATGCTGGGAGTTGGAGTCCAAAACACCTGGAAGGCCCAAGTTTGCCCATGCCTGCTCTACAGGCAAAAAAAATCAGCCAAGGAAGTGAAAATGGGTTTGTAGTTAAACATAAACTCAAGATCCCGCAAACAAAGAAGAACTTGTAATAAATGAACAGTTTCCTCATTTTGTTTCCCACTGTTCCAAATACTTTAACTATCGGATAGTAGGCGTTTGGACACTGAATACGAAAGAGGAAGTGGGTTGGAGGAAATAAATGCCTTTCTCCCTGCCCCATTTCTGTTGCATGACTTTTGAATGTTTACTTTCTTGAAAGGAGGGGAGACACTGCATGTAGGTTGCAATCAGATCCCAGAAGTTACTCTATCTATCTATCTATCTATCTATGCATAAATTGAGCAATTTTAGTTAAAACTGACCCCATGAGGTGGTGCTGGTGCCTCTCAACTTACCAACGGGTCATAGCAAATTCCATAATTTTGCTCTGCATACCATCCCTTGCCACACACACACACACACACACACACATATATATATATATATATATGAGTAAATAGTAGTAAGCAGAATAGCAGCATGGAGGAGCCAAAGCTGTCCCTGCCTTCTCAACTTGGATATTGACAAGCTGAAACGTATCCAAAGAACGACAGCTAAAATGGTCAAAGGTCTGGAAGCCAAGCCCTATAAGGAGCGGCTTAGGGAGTTGTAGATGTTTGACTTGGGAGAAGAGACAGTTGAGAGGGGAGATGATAGTTAGGTTCAGTAATGAGGTGGAGGCAAGTTTGTTTCTGTTGTTCTAGAGCAGCGTTTCTCAATCTGGGGGGCACGAGAGGGTGCCAGAGAGGTTGCCAAAGATAATCAGAAAACATAGTATTTTCTGTTGGCAATGGGGGTCGTGTGTGCAAAGTTTGGCCCAATTTTGTCATTGGTGGGGTTCAGAATGCTCTTCGGTTGTAGGTGAACTATAAATCCCAGCAACTACATCTCCCAAATATCAAGGTCTATTTTCCCCAAACTCCACCTATAATCACATCTGGGCATATTGAGTATTCATGCCAAGTTTGGTCCAGAGCCATCATTGTTTGAGTCCATTGTGCTCTCTGTATGTAGGTGGACTACAACTCCCAAACGCAAGGTCAATGTCCAACAGATCCTCCCAGTATTTTCTGTTGGTCATGGGAGTTCTGTGTGCCAAGTTTGGTTTAATTCAATTGTTGGTGGAGTTCGGGGTGCTTTTTGATTGTAGGTGAACTATAAATCCCAGCAACTCCAACTCCCAAATGACAAAATCAATCCCTCCAACCCCACCAGTATTCAGATTTGGACATATCGGGTATTTGTGCCAAATTTGGTCCAGTGAATGAAAATAAATCCTTCATATCAGATATTTACATTATGATTCATAACAGTAGCAAAATTACAGTTATGAATTAGCAACAAAAATAATGTTATGGTTGGGGGTCATCACAACAGAAGGAATTGTATTAAAGGGTCGTGGAATTAGGAAGGCCCTTGGAGGTCTCCTTCAACTCCAATCGTACTATTAAAACCACTCTGAAATACTTTATCATTGTAAAACCACCACGTGAATGTGTAAACATGAGAGATCTCAAAGGCAGCAGCAATGATTATTTGGCTATAAGGAAAAGGGCCGGTTTTAGCACAGCAAGTCAATCACCAGCTGCAGCAAATCTTGTTAACCGAAAGGTTGACAGTTCAGAGCCAGGTCAGGGTGAGCTCCTGACCTTCATCCCAGCTCCCCGCCCACCTAGCAGATCGAAAACAGCAATGTTAGTAGATAAATAGGAACTGAATTAAAGCGGGGAGATATTTTAGGCACAGCATTTCAATCAGAAAAAAAGGAAAAGTTTACGAACAAAGAAAGTTGTTCGTAAAGGAGATGGTGCAACAGCACCCTCCTGTGGCCGGAACCGAGCACAGCCTCCAAATACGCCAAAAAGACAGAGAAAAAGCCTATATAATCCCTCTATCTGTTGTCTGTTCTGTCATTGTATAATCAGCATTGAATTTTTGCTGTATATGTGTTCTGTGATCTGCCCTGAGTCCCCTTTGGGGTGAGAAGGGCAGACTATAAATACTGATAATAATAATAATAATAATAATAATAATAATAATAATAATAATAATACAAGGAAAAGGTTCTTGACAAAGGCAGAATTTCAGGTGTGCTAGATACACTGGTACATTTTGCCCCTGTCTCCAAACAAACCTCTCACCTGTGGGACACCCCTTCTGGCACTCTTCTTCAGACAGAAAGTTGTTGTCGTTGCCTTTACAGCCCCCAAAGATGAATCTCTGGCACGTCTGGCTGGTGGCGTTGTACCACCATCTTGGGAAGGAAGCCCGGCATCGGCCCACAACTTTGGGCAAGTGGCAATGTTCTGAAAGCAAGGAGGGAGCCTGTGAGAGGGAGGCTAAGTAGTTGAGCCATGAATAGAACCACCACATGTAGACACTGGGGACAAGCAACTGATCGCTCAGGTGGGAGTACCCAAAACAGGAGTGGGTAGGTTGGCAATTTCTGTGGGGCCAGGAACCCCTTTTCAGGTTGATTACACTATCTAACAAAATTGAAAACAAATTCTGTTCCTGGTATGAAAGTGTCAATTCCTGTTTAACAGTGCAGTATTTACTTTGAAAGTAGTTGTAAACTCCAGAAACTTTGTTTTTGTGACTGCCATAAACTATGTTGAATTGGTTGAGATTCTAAGAGATACTCATTGAAAATCTAGAGGAAAATGTGCTGCAAGATGTCCCACAAAAACAAAGTTTTTGCACCTTAATCAACTTTTCCCATTTTTTAAAAATGACAGAATCAATTAGGAAATGGCATTTAAAACCCGGGAACAAAATCGTGTTACCTAGTGCTATTTGTGCAAAGGCCGCATACTTGAAAGAAAAAGGGCAAAGCATGGAAGACTCTTTCCTCTAAAGATATATTAAAATTACTATTAGATAAAAATTGACTTTTGCTGCTTTTTATTATTTATTTATTTATTTAAAACGTTTATATTCCGATTTTCTCTACCTCCGTAGAGGGACTCAGACCGCCTGACAGCAAGAATTCAATTCTAACAGTAAAAATCTAAAACATCATAATATCAACAGTAAATTAACAAATACATATAAATACATAAAAGCCGTTCGCCAAGATAAAAAACATGTCCAACTCAGTCCGTATATTCAGTCCATGTATTGTGGTCAATAACTTTGGTCGGTTACCAGTCTCACCCTCATTCTGCAAAGGCCTCATTCCACAACCAGGTTTTCACAAACTTCCTAAAGTCAGGAGGGAGGGGACAGATCGAATTTCATTCGAGAGGGAATTCCATAGCTGGGGGGCCACTACAGAAAAGGCCTTGTCTCTCGTTCTCACCAGGCGCGACTGGGAAGGTGGCGGGACCGAGAGCAGGGCCTCTCCAGACGATCTTAACACTCTTGATGGTTCATAGGGGAGAATGTGTTCGGACAGGTAAGCTTTTATTAATTCAATATCATTATTAACAAATAAAATCCCCCAAATCACAATCTATATAAATAAAACTGTAATGTTCGTTTGTGGGATTAGCATAACTCAAAAACCACTGGACGAATTGACACCCAATTTGGACACAAGACACCTATCAGGCCAACAAGTGATCATCACTCATAAAAACACTGAAAAACACAGCAGAAGAGACTTAAAAAACCAAAATAAAAAATAAAAATACATTACAACACATGTGCAAAACCACATATATATGCAAACACACATATATACACATATACACAAATATATACACTCATATATACAGACTGAGTGACAGCAACACATGGCAGGGGATGGCTAGTTAGAAGTAAAAATCTCCACACTCTTTTATTAAGATACAAAAACACACACACACTTTAAATGTAGTTAAACTTCCCGTCCCTTGAGTTGGAGACATTCGTATATAATTCTGTTCTTCCTTCCTATTACATTGTTTTTCTATTCTTCCTTCTGGTCTGATAATTATTATTTATACATTCCCTACACAGATTCTAACAGGTTAAATCAGGTATGGGCAAACTTGGGCCCTCCAGGTGTTTTGGACTCCAACTCCCACAATTCCTAACAGCTACAGGTCCCTTTATTTTCCCCTTCAGCCACTTAAGCTGATGAACTAGTTCAACAGGGACAAAAGCAAGATACTCCACTTAGGAAGAAAAAAAATAAATGGAAAGATACAGAATGAGGGATGATGCCTGACTCGACAGCAAGAAAAAAGATTATAGTGTCCTCGTGAGCACCAAGTAAAACATGAGCCAACAATGTCAAGCAGCAGCTAAAAAAGCCAATGGGATTTTGGCCTGCATAAACAGGAGTCCAGTGTCTCGGTCCAGGGAAGTCATGCTACCCCTCTATTTGCCTTGGCCAGACCACACCTGGAATCAGACTGTGTCCAATTCTGGGCACCACAATTGAAGTGAGATGTTCAAATCAAATCATTTATTTCGGTCATTGACCAGCACAGAAAATAGAGATGTTGACTCTAAGCTAGAATGTGTCCAGAGAAAGGCGACTAAAATGATCAAGGATCTAGAGAACAAGCCCTATGAGGAGCGGCTTAAAGAGCTGGGTATGTTTAGCCTGCAGAAGGGAAGGCTGAGAGAAGACATGATGAGGACCATGGATCAAGATGTGCAGGGAAGTCATAGGGAGGAGGGAGCAGGCTTGTTTTCTGCTGTTATGGAGACTAGGACGTGGAACAATGGCTTCAAACTACAGGAAAGGAGATTCCAGTTGAACATTAGGAAGAACTTCCTAACTGTGAGAGCTGTTGATGAAGGCCATGGATAAATATGTGAGGAGAAGTGACTGACACAATGCGCATAATTTTAGATTTTCATCTTTAAAAAGATAATACAAGTAATAATTGGGGAATTCTCTTCACATATTTTTGTCCACATTAAAGTAATGAAAATAATTATAATTGGTAAGTATGATTATTAAGTGTTGAAGCTCCAAGCTGAAAAGCCCATCCAAGGATCACTTAGGAAAATGGGACCGATCCAAACTTTGGCCCTTCAGGTGTTTTGGACTTCAAGTCCCAGAAATCCTAGACAGCTTACCATCTGTTAAGAATGGTGGGAGTTGTCCCACAAAGTTTGTCCATGCCTGATCTACTTTGTGATCCCAACCATCAAGCCAGTGAACTCTGCTTGTTCATCCCGATGGAAAGGTTCACCCAACTTAAAGCGGACAGTGGAGATTTTCCGATTGCAACAGCCAAGTGAGACAACGTCTTGCAGCAAATAGCCCAGTGTGACAACATTTCAGACTGCATAGCAATGTGGGGCGATGCCTCTTCACCTAGGTCAAAGGGAAGCTGGAGGCTGGGCCAGGGATTGGGACTCAAACAAACTTCCTATGGAAATGCTTGGGACTATCACAACAGAAAAACATGTTCCCTCCGCATCATAACTGCCCCATCTGCCTACTTTTCTGAAGAAGTACCTTATTTCAGGTAGCAGAGAAGGACAAAAGGAATACAGGACAATTCTCATGCCCTCTGTCAAAGGGAAATCCATCCTCCAGACCTAAGGCGATAGGGAGACTGATTTCTTTAAAAGTATAGGGCCAACCTGAGAGTATTGTACCTCCCCGAAAAAAAGGAAAATTGTCCTTCCATTCCCAATAAGTTAAAACTGGAGCACTGAAAATATAGAATCAAAGTTGGAAGAGACCTCATGGGCCATCCAGTCCAACCCCCTGCCAAGAAGCAGGAATATTGCATTCAAATCACCCCTGACAGATGGCCATCCAGCCTCTGCTTAAAAGCTTCCAAAGAAAGAGCCTCCACCACACTCCGGGGCAGAGAGTTCCACTGCTGAACGGCTCTCACAGTCAGGAAGTTCTTCCTAATGTTCAGATGGAATCTCCTTTCTTGTAGTTTGAAGCCATTGGAATTTAGACAACCAAAATAAAAATAAGGATCAGGTAAAGTGACAGAGGGAAAGCAAACACAGCACATGTTAACAGTTGTAGATGTCAACTCCTATCGTCTCACATTGTACAATGCTAGATATTTGGGGACTAAAAGAAAATTCAATTGGCAGGCAGAATTCTTATTTGAAGGGGCAATGTCCTTATTTTGCACCCCCCTCCTCAATTCTTCTGACCCCAGAGTTGCACTTTTTCCATCCCTGACCTACTGGGATATGGGCAGGGTCTATGTGCCGCCAAGGCATTTATTGATCTGTGCTGACCCTATCAATATCAAATTGTTTTCATTAGTCAGAAATACTCAGAAGTAGCTCATCATCCTTTGAAATATATTTTACAGACCCTGCCGGTTCCTCGAAGGTCTCCCATCCAAGTACTAATCCTGCCTGGTCTTGCTTCCAAAATCAGATGGGATCAGATGCCCCAAACCTAAAAACCTCAAGATATTTAGGTTTGGGGCATATAAGGTTTGATTTGAAAAACAGATCATTTTCCTTGAGGAAAAAGAGGAGGATGAGTAAGGAGAAAAAAGGGATGGTAGATAAACCAGGTCTTGAGAAGGTATATTTGGTCTGGAATAACGGGAAACCAGGTTTCTGTAAGTTTTCCGGGCTGTATGGCCATGTTCCAGAAGCATTCTCTTCTGACCTTTTGCACACATCTATAGCAGGCATCTTCAGAGGTTGTGAGGTCTGTTGGAAACCTAGACAAGTGAGGTTTATATAGCTGTGGAATGATGTCCAAGGTGGGGGAAAGAACGTTTGATTGCTTGAGGCAAGTGTGAATGTTGCAATTGGCCACCTTGATTAGCATTTAATAGCCTTGCTGCTTCAAAGCCTAGCTGGTTGCTACTTGGGAAGATCCTTTGTTGGGAGGTATTAGCTGACCCTGATTGATTCTTGTCTGGAATTCCCCTGCTTTTTGAGTGTTCTTCTTTATGTATTGTCCTGATTTGGGGAACTGGTTGATAATGGACAGTGTATTTTGCTGCACTTTACTTTCCTTTTTACTCTACAACAGTGGTTCTCAAACTTCCTTATGCTTCGACCTTAATACAGTTCCTCATGTTGTGGTGACCCCAATCATAACATTATTTTCTTTGCTACTTCGTAACTGTAGTTTTGCTACTGTTATGAACTTTAATATAAATATCTGATATGCAGGTTGTATTTCTATTCACTGGACCAAATTTGGCACAAACACCCGACATACCCAAATTTGACTACTGGTGGGGTTGGGGTAGGATTTTGTCATTTGGGAGTTGGAGTTGCTGGGTTTTATAGTTCCCCTACAATCAAAGAGCATACTGAACACCACCAATGATGGAATTGAACCAGACTTGGCATACGGAACTCCCATGACCAACAGAAAATACAGGAAGGGTTTGATGAGCATTGACCTTCAATTTTGGAGTTG